AACTAACAAAAGCACTCAATGCCGGCATGTCGAAAGAAACACAGACGAAAGTAAAGTTTAGTTATAATCGTAGTTCTCGCAAAGTTTTGGTTAATGTAAAACACGACACAACTGTGTGGTTTACAGGAGAATTAGCAACGGTCTTGGGATTTGATCAGGACACACTTATTGAAAAGAAAACGTCGAGTCCCTATGCTGCAGATATCAATGGTGGATTTTCCTCCATGTATATCTATACTGATATCGTTGATGCACAGTTTGTGGGCGATGTGAAAGTTCCTTTACTACGAATCGTTAATATCGAAGGGGAATATGGAAACACCGTTCACGCCAGTTTTCGTAATTTGCAATACGTACCGGTCAAAGTAAATTCTTTTGAGACCATTGAAGTGAATATAAAGAATGACCAAAACGAAAACGTCTCATTTGAGTTCGGGAAGTCAATCGCAACACTTCACTTTAGACAGAAGAGATCTCAGTCCTTTATCTAAAAAAAATGCGCGGAAGACTAGTTGTGGATGCTAAACTATTGAAAGACCATTTTTTGAGACAGCAACGTGGTGGGAATATCGCTGGGTTTCGTGGTGCACGTATGCAAAGGGGATATGGAATCGGAAGTATTTTTAAGAGCCTTGCGAGATATGCTATCCCTATAATCAAACAAGGTGCTAAAGTTGTTGGCAAAAGAGCATTGCAAGCGGCCACAGAAGTCGGTCAAGATGTACTCCAAGGAAAAAATGTAAAAGAAGCTTTTAAATCACGAGGAAAACAAGCAGCATCTGATGTTGCCAAGAAAGTAATGACCGGAAAGGGTCGCAAAAAGGGTATAAAAAGAGCAGCGCCAACTAAAACTCCCATTCGTGGTCCAACCAAGAAGCAGAAAACATCTCTCGATAACTATAGTCCAAAGTGGCATGGCTCTTGAAACAATGCATAAAGACTCCTGTATGTGTTCAAAATCTGAACTCGATTTATTTTCTATTTCACCGACTCAAGTAGTAATGGAAAAAGGATTTTGGGAAGATGTTGATTTTAATCCCACGTCAACACGGGATTAAAACAACGCCATGCATATACACATGAAAGCAAATCTGTCGCCATGGAAGGAAGACTTCATTCTGATCTATTCGCCCAAGACCGTTATATTCTTGGTGCTGTTCCAATCAAGATCAAGTTGGTGAGATCTAGAGATCCGTTTTGTTTGGTGTCATCCGCAGAAGATCCCAATTTCAAAGTGGTCATCGAGGAATGTTTGTTTCGTGTACGACGAGTTAACGTAGCCCCTAGCATTATACTGGCTCATTCCCAGTCCCTTCAACAAATCACTGCCAAATACCCAATCAACAGGATCGACTGCAAGGTTGTCTCCGTACCTCGGGGGAATATGTCTGGAAATCAACCTAATATATTTCAAGGTGGTTTACCAAATCGTATCGTGATTGGAATGGTCGACGGGGATGCCTTTAACGGTACATATACGAAGAACCCGTTCAATTTTAAAAATTACGATATCACAACCATGGGTCTCACTGTCAACGGAGAGAACTTACCTGGAAAACCACTACAGTTGAAATTTGGAGCAGACAGTAATTACATTTCCGCTTTTCAAACCCTGCACACCGGCGCACACAAGATTTTTGATAATCAGGGTAATGGTATAACGCGTGAAGAATATGCAAACGGTTATACACTGTTTATGTTTGATCTCACTCCTGACTTATGCCTTGGTGATCATGTACAGCCGATTAAGAACGGAAATGTGTCAATTGAATGTCGATTTGGAACACCGTTGGAGACAGCTATAAATATCGTGGTACTTGGTGAATTTCAAAGTCTTATCGAAATTGATGCGAACCGAAACGTACTGTGTGATTTCAACAACTGAAGATGAACTCCCTGCAGATTATGAACATTCTCAAGAATGATCCATTTACAAAAACGGTGTTTACGGACGTTTTACCGTCAGATCGTTTACCTCGCGAAATAAGAAAGAGGCCTAGAGGGTACATACTTAACACGGACGCATCGGGTATGCCCGGATCACACTGGATTGCAATGTACCTTACAGAAGATGGCAACGGGGAATTTTGGGATTCGTATGGCCAGGCTCCTGGATTTTACAATCAGAACTTTACTCAATTTTGGATAAGCATTGCGCTACATTTACATGGAACAGAAGAATTTTGCAAGCCCCTTCATCAGACGTGTGTGGACAATATACATTATTCTTTGCTTTACATCAATGTAGACGTATTCCAATGTCAACCATTGCAAATATGTTTACGGATAGCAAAGAATGGAATGATGAGCTTGTGCGTGACTTTATAGACAAGTGGTACAAACACTAGTTTTAGTTTCAAAATAGATTTATTGTAAAATATTCTCTTACAAGAAATAAATTATTTTAACCATTTATATGGACTATTGTTTATGTCTCTACGTTTCCTTCTTTTTTCCTCACGCACATGGGATACTGGTGACCGGGTGTTTTGAGGGGTGGTGGGTAGATTTTTCGGGTTACTTTTGGTTTTATTTTCGCGAACAATTCCAAGACGGTTTTCGTTTCTCACAATACCTTCGGGTACATTCAAATGCCCGAGAACTTTTGAAAACAATTCCCAGCCGTCGCGGTTGAAATTCTTCCTTTGACGTAGAGAATCATTCACCAAATCAACAATATTTGTGATAGGAACCGGTCTTCCTTTGAACACCATCTGGCCTTGTTCATTCCAACCAACAAGATCTTTCTTTGACTTGAGTTTTTTGATGAGTTGTCGAGCTCTTGACTTCATATTAGCTGGTACACTATCCATGATATCTGTTTCAATCTCGTCTGAAGGTTCCGTCTCTTCACTCGGCTGATTTCCTTGAGGTTCTGCAGCTTTATCGATGTGCGTCACGTTTACTCGGAGAGGTTTGTTCATTCGTTTATCATAAAAGGTTAAATAGCGTTGCAGATTCTGGTCGTATAACTTTGCCTTTTCATCGATTGGTATATCTTGTCGTCGAATAAAATCTTGCATGTCCGAGTCTATTTCGTTAACCTGTGTTGCCAGAGGCGCCGCGAGAGGTTTCTTTCGCTGTTCAACCATATGTTCAGGGACAAGGACTAGTCGCTTGACGTGTTCCATTATAAAAAGTTAGCCAACTGTTCCAAAACTGAAGTGAGTAAAAACGGTAGGAAATCCTCCCCTTTTTGGACCAGACGTGTTCTTCTTTTTACGATAGGATTTCTTTTGTCAGCCGCAATCTTTATATGCTTGGAATGCGGTGCAAGTTTTTTAGCTGTTTTCGGTTTCAGTTTAACCGTTTCAAACCAAACGTTTAAAAGACACTGTCTTATCGCTTCGAATAAATCGTCTTCAGCCGCTTTCAAAATAGCTTTTCTCAGTTCGGGTTTGCACTTGGCCAATACTTTCAGAAGTTCGGAGTTCCTCTTCATACAAGCAGACATGATCAAATGAATATTTTACACACGTTCCCACATTTTTATACTCTGGGTTGATAGACATAATGCGTGTCGCTTGGAAAGATCCCGGATCGAATTCGTATCTCGTCAGGACATGTAGGAGTTAAGTCGACAAATAGATAAGAATAAGGTTCTTTCGTTGCCAATTGATAAGCTTGTTGGAAAAACTTCGTTTGACTCGGGTATAGCTGTTTAGCGAGATGAGTAATTTGACTTGCATCGCGAACATTTTTCGTTAAACATAAATAACTTGCATTGAGAGATATTGTGCGATGCTCTTTGCTCTGGTGAAACAAGTTTTGCACAATGTAGATTACGCTTAGATTACCATGGTGCGATTTTTTCGTGAACAATTTAGAAATCACTCCGTCTTTCTCACCCATCATATCGTCAATAATGAACAAATTGCGCGTTTCTGGATTGATACTATCCATTATATTATCCGGCAAGCCTTGTATGAATTTTATACCAGGCACTAAATTTTGTATTTCTCCAAACGCATCTTGATATTCGGCATAGAAGTAAATAATATTTTCAGGCGTTGGATCAATCAGCACATTGGCATAGCTGAGAAGCTTTTTCACAAAGGTGGTTTTGCCTGATTTTGTACCGCCAGAAACGAGAAGCCCAAACGGGTGTCTTAACTGTATGGAGTACATGATGAAAATGAAAGCAGATACTTTTCGATCAGTCTATTTATCTTTTGCAACTCGATCAATACCGTTGCTTTATCAATAGGCATTTTCCTAGCACGAATAAGGTATGGTTGTCTCTCTTGAGTAGATAGTTTATGAACATTGGTTAAATGATTAGATAACTTTAATAAACCTTTCTTTCCGCACATGGGACAGACCTTACGCGTTCGAGGCATGTTATCAAATGAATGTTTCCGAGCATACAACTACCTAAATAGTCCCTTTGGGGACTAATTATTGTCCCCGGATGTCCCCGGCACAGATGAATGTCCCCACGGGGCCGTGATTACCAACATTGGTCCCTATTATAGCCGATTGTTCCTTTAGAAAGTCCCTCCGGGGACTAATTTTTGTCCCGGATGTCCCCGACACAGATGAATGTCCCCATGGGACCATAACTACCAGTATTAGTCCCTATTATAGCCGATTGTCCCTTTAGAAAGTCCCTCCGGGGACTAATTTTTGTTCCCGGATGTCCCCGGCACAGATGAATGTCCCCATGGGGCCATAATTACCAACATTAGTCCCTATTATACCCGACTGTTCCTTTAGAAAGTCCCTCCGGCGACTAATTTTTGTCCCCGGATGTCCCCGGTATAGAAGAATGTTCCCATGGGGACATAATTACCAACCATAGTCCCTAATATAATCGAATGTCCCTAGTCCCTCCGGTGACTAATTTTTGTCCCCGGACGTCCCCGGCACAGACAAACGTCCCCATGGGGACATAATCACCGATATTAATCCCTAATAAAGACGAATGTTCCTCTAGGGAGAAAATCCCCGCAGCTGTACCATTACACACATAACTTTAATGTTTAAAATCATTTATTAATTTAAAAACCATAAGGTAATGTATCAAAATTATTTACAATCACACGTTTATTATATACAATACGATAGTTCTTGTTCTCACTCCTCGTCTTTACACTTTTCTCTTTAGTGTCTCTATTTATTTTGTATGGTATATTTACAGTTACTTTCTCGGGACCTTCACCCCTGACCATGTCAGACATGACGTCAAAGTTGACATGTTGTTGGGTCCTGTAGTTTAAGGTGATCCCTCTAACTTTGCATACTGTTTTGTCTGTGTTTGTCTCGTAGGCATAGTTTTTAGGACCTCCAGACACAAAGGTTGTAATGTAACCTCCATCCAACTCATCCGTTAGTTGACCAAGATAGGATCCCGTCGGCGGCTCCCATTCGTCTTCCTTTGAAACGTAGATAACTGAATCTGTGTCAAAATATAAGACTCGGCGATTTAACAGATCCAGGACACCATAGAGCTTGAGGCGGGCGTGGGCTGTGGTGAACGCTGCGATGACCACATTTGTCTTTCCGTCGGCTTCCACGAATTCGTCAACGTTTTCAAAATGGACTTCAATGAGCTCGTCATTGATGAAATTCGCGTCGGTGACGTTAATCTGGTCGCTGGAGAGGAGGTCAAAATATTCAGCTGGATCCGATATGATTTTGACTTTGGTCATGTTAGGTCGTTGCGCAAACTTTCCTACAAGAAATGATAGATTTTTAACAAACACTTGTTTTTCCCAAGTACCGTTAGTGGACAATTTGCCATTGCACTTACCCCAAAAAGAGTTCAACATGAGCTTCGCCAACGCCCTCAGACCAGGATTCTTCACAATCTGTCTTGGATCCAACTGAATACCTTCTTTTGCGGCGTAATCAACGATGTACTGCCCCTTTTTCTCGTCGGTGTCACATTCCGGCGGAAAGCCACTCGCCTGCAAAAGAGAAAGAAATAATAAGAAACTAATGATGTGACAATATCACACACATATTGAAGCCTTACCTCTTGCTTGATTTTGAGGAACGTATCAATATAGTCCTTAAACAGCCCATCTGTGTGCTCGAGAAAGTGCCAAACTTCGTCGACTCTCACCAGTTTGTAGCCTTTCTCTAGTGCTTTCTCGAGCTCCAAAGTCACCCACGTCCCATGAAGGGCTCGCTCGGCGTCGCTGTGATGGCAGGGCTCTTGCTGAAGGTTGTCGGCACAAGTACGACACAACGGGAACATCAATTTACCCTGAGTACGGTAAGGGAGGACGGGGTGGTATAGGGCACGAGGAGGAAGCACAGAACATTTCACCAAACCAAAGTAGTCACTGATAGGTTGAAAGTTCTCAGTAATAATCTTGGGATGGCCAATCGGATACTCGCCGTATTTGTTACACCTAAAAATGTTTAAGAAGGTTAACGGCAAACACGTTTCAGTTAAAGGACTTCAACAAGATACATACCATGGGTAGAGGCTGCAGAAATCCACATAGCGGATCTTCTCTTCTGGCTGGACGTCGTAATATAGGCGTGTTGCGTTAGTCCTTCCACCAAAGAATGCATGACGAGGTTCAAGAGGTTCAGAAATCTCGAAATTGTCGAAGAAGTCCTTCATCTCGGGTTCAGTGGCAAGTTGACGCTCAATATCACACGTCCAAATCTCTACGACATTGTATCCGTTATCCTTTAGGAACTGGATTTTCTCGAGGGTTCGCTGCTTAAGATCTTGCATGGTCATATGGTTGATCGGATTCACGGTATCTCTAGCATAACATCTTTCGCATCCATGCCACAGGCATCCTTGAATTTCCCAAACAGTGTTTGTTTCAACGTTGAAACCATCGACAAGATACTTGCCAATGCGCTGCTCTCCGTGGTTCCGGGCGTGGCGAATGACGGTGTTATCACGTTGAGCGACCCAGGCCAGCATCTTCAAGGCGATGACGGACTGTTTGTTTTCAGGCTTGTACCCGCAAGGAGGAATGACGGCGATGGTGTTCTCCTGGAGGAACGTTTTACGGAAGACGAGATTACACGCAGAAGCAATGGTGAGACAAGAGGCAAAAGGGTCAACATCTGTGATTTGGCTGAAAAGTTCGCGGAACTCGAGACAGCAGCGACGCAAAATGTCCACATCGGATTGACAATATCGAAGAATTTCGGCTTGAAAGTCGAACTCGTACTGACGCCGGACTTGCTCGTTGTACCATGAATAAAACTTTTCTCGGTCATCGCTGCTCATGCCATCAGGATCGTAGAACTTCGAGTCTGGAAGAGGTCCCACGTAGTCTTGGTTCTCAGCACGGTTAAAGAAATGAGGGAAGTAACCTTTCTGAAGCTCTGTGAGACCAAACGTTTTCGGGAAGGCGGCGAGTTTCATTGGGATGAAACAGAGAGAATCAATAAACTTGATGTTCATTTCGGGGACAGTGAGGGAAAGGATTTTTGCGCCACGGGTAATGATTTCTGGAGTGATACCATTCTTGTAAAGGTATTGTAGAATAAAGTACCCGTCGTAAGCCTGAAAGTTATGTGCGACAAACGTCGTATTCGCGTTTTCCTGCTGAAACATCCACTCGCAAAACTCGTCTTTCGTGTTTGGCCCAGAAAAGACTTTCTCGTCACCGCTTTCGTTCTGGACTACGCAGAGATTGGGGACGTGTTTACCATCGTCTTGCGTGCATTCGAAGTCAAAGAACATTAAGTTTTTGGTGTCTTCTACGTCGTTTTCCACGGCCACATCATCATCGAGCAAATCGTTTCGTTCTTCAGTGGATCGTGTTTTCTTCGCCTTTACAGGTTAAAGATAACATTGGTGGTTTTCAGGCTTGACGTACTTTTGACAGGTGGAACATCTGACTTTGCCACAATGATGATCGCGAAGACTGGCACGAGTAACCACACGTTTGCATTTCTTGCATTTCACTAAAGCACAACACAGGGATTTGGCAGGACCAGCGTCATCTTTATGGCGGTTGAAGCATTCGTCACTTTTAAAGAACCGGTTACAGTCTTTGCAAAATTTCCATTCAACGATGGGACAGTTCTGGGTATTACACAGTTTGCACAGATCGCCACATGGATGGTCAGTAATCTTGTCGTATCCCTTCTTGCATTTATGGCAATACTTTTTACAGGCGAGGAAGGCAGGCATACTGGTGATGACATCGTAATGATTGTCATGATGGTACAGGTATAAACATTTGTCTGCTTCAGGGCCAGAATAAATCATAGCGTTCAAATGTTCTTTAGAGATCACGTTCAGTTGATAACCAGGGAGAGCTGCTTGGAACTGTTTGATTTCTGGGATGCCACAGGAACCAAGAGAAACACCAGCAGACTCGTGGAGTTCTCGAGCTAGGCGAGTTTGCATGGCCCTTTGATGGTTAACAATACTTCTGTATTGGGGGTCGTTATCCAATTTCGCTTTGGCCACCACGATCGCGCGGGCACAACAGAGATCATCTTTGTTTTTTATTTGAACGATACAGTCCTTTTTTCTGAGAAAACTTTCGAGGTTCACAATATCACGCTTACGCCCCGTACCACCCTGAGGCATTTCTACATGGACCACGTTGACGCTGACAGAGTCATCCAAAGTAAATTGATCATTGGACTGTACGACACGTTCAACAGCTGCCAGGAAACGTTCTGGGGTTAGACGATCGCGTTGCAGGAAAGGCAAGGAAATGGATTTGTCCAGCTGATCCGAGTTGAGGATCAGGCGAACTTGATCGTGAGGTGACATGTCACTCGTGAGTCGGTCAAATAAATGTTGAAATGCGCGGTTCAACGTCGACATGACGTTCGACACCCCGTGCACGTCCAACGGATTGAATTGAACAGTATAGTCTGTACCTAAAAACCGTAATACACTATTGTACTAAGTAATAGCAATCAGAAAGACTATGGTTGTTAACAAGTAACCTTAAACACCCAACATTTCATGAGGTGTTTTTACACTATAAGCCTTGGTCTAATGGCCAAGGAAAATGTGGCGAGTTTACACCATTGCGTTATTTTTATAGCAGTAATCATTATATAGATTACTGTAACATGATTACTCTGTAATATGGAATAATTTGGATACCTAAAAAACGGGAGGTTGTACAAACAACACTAATAGAGAGCTCAAGATCTATGACGCGCCAGCTCAACGACGCGGTCTGAATTTCAGTTCAAGAATGAGCCCTAAGCAATTGCATTACTGTAATAAATGTTTGAAGATTTTTCAAATAACCTTAAAAAACTGCCAAGTTCGACTAAAGCGATGCAGTGTTTGCTGTAATTTCGACTTTAAGACGGCTTTAGGGTCGCAATAAGCGTTCACCTTGCGTGAAAGTCGTGCTAATGCTTAGTTTAACGTTTTTTAGCACGACAAAGCCTTTGAAAATACCCCTGAGACCACGAATTATTGATAGTTTTTGTCTTGCACAATAATTTTTTTTTCTTTCACAAGCGCGTCGTGGGTCTTAAGTTCGCTATTTACCGGATTGTGCCACTCGAAACATTTAGCTACAATTCTAATCATAAGCCCTGTAAATACTAAGGCCTCATTTGAGAGTTATGACCATTTATAAAAAGCTAACTTGTTGGACATCCTTCGTACAGCCAACTACAGATGTACATATAAGCAATAAACACAACTCTTATAAGCTCCGGTTTACACTATACAGGATTCGCTGGTCACTACATCTTCTTTTGCCGTTACGGAGCAATGGCTAGTAGCAAATGCTTATTAGTTTGACAGAATTGGCATGTTTATTTGGGGCTCTGAGATTAAGCCTTTCGATACCTACAAAATGTGACCCACTCCGATAGCAATCCGGTATAGTGTAAATGGAGCCTAATAAAATCGAAACCTCACTCACGTAACCGATGTTACGCTTAAAAATATAAAAACAGTTTAATGTGTACCTGTCGTCCTGAATTTCCTCACGTTGACTTGCTTAGCTGATTTAATAGTGAAATACTCCTCTGGTCTTTGGCGTTTTGAGGGGGCGTGATCACTGGCGTGCCTTCGCTTGCTCCCTTCACCTATTTGGTTTTCTGGCGGTTCAGGCATCTGTTCGAGTTCGCATAAACCATCATCATTGGCCCAGTCTTCGTTGAACAGGCGACGTTGATCCTTGGTCCAGTTTGCCATCATATCAGGGTCAACTCCAACCGGATTCTCCCGTTCAATATCTTCGGCCATCGCGTTCGTCCAAAATATAATGCGTTGTTGAAGAACAGCTTCCTTCTGCTCATCAGTAAGCACAAACGACTCTTGGAGAAAGTCGAGTTCACTTTCAGCTTCACAAGCTTTGATAAGATCCAACATATTAATCTAGAAATATCATAAACATATTAATCTAAAAATACATATTCTAAAACTTAATCCAGCCTATGACTCTGAAACTATCGTAAACATATATTCAAAACGCTATGTTTCCTTACCGAATGAGCCATTTTAAAAAACAATCCAACGCAATCCAAAAGCAGAGAACACTTCAGAACCAGACAACACTTGAGAAAACCAGAGACCACTCGCCAAAATGCAACAGTGAGAAATGAAACGTGTGTTTGAAACACGATATTTATAATCTCTGATAATTTGTTTGGTCGCGCTACTGTGTTGTGCCGCTAATTGATCTCATTACTGTATTGTAATGCTAATTGATCACAGTTGGCCCAGACCTGCCCGCGTTAATTGGTCGCGCTACCTGTCACAGTTGGCCCAGACTTGCCCGCGTTAATTGGTCGCGCTACCTGGCCAAGGGTTAGGGTTAGGGCCAGCAAAGTTACGTCACATATTTTGCATACTAATTACTTCCGTTGCCAGATGGGGGGGGGTTTACTACTGATGCTGCCAACCATTACACGCCAATGTGAAAATATGAGGTGTCGGAATGTGGCATGCAACCAATCTTATTCCAATACTGTTAAATCGACAAAAAAGACCATTATTAATAAAACAAAATCTTTGTTTCATGCAACCGGAACGTCACAAGCTTAATTAAAGAAGCTGCTTGGCTAGTAATTATTTCATAGAATAAAATGTCTAACGTAAAGTGGACGTATTTGTTGAGTTACATCACAAGTACCTCATGAAACTTCTCCAGATTGTTCAATCTGGGATCAGTTGCATTTAGTTTATAATTCTTAACTATGCCATTTAAGCATTTGAGTACAACAGGGCATCCATTATTGACTTGAAATGAATGAAAAGAACTTATAGATTTTAAGCTCGAAAATCCGTCATCAATTTTTTACGTTTTGTTGCATCTTATACTTTTCTCTTTTTTTTTAACCCTCTTACATATACAATGCAAGTCTTGTCTCTAAAACGTTTATCTATTCTTATTACATTTCAAATTCGATCCAAATCGGTCTACAAAAATTGATTACCTTGATTCAAAAAGAAATATTTGAAGGAATTGTAACAGTGGTCAGAAATATATGTGAATGAATGAATGAATGAATGAATGAATGAATAATTTATTTAAACACGTTACGTCCAGGAATATAAAGCTCGTTCAAAATACGAACGTGCATATGTCAGTAATACATCATTACAAATCGTGTTTAATGATAGCCAGGCCTCCGTAACTAATAACAAACTCTTTCGATTTTTTTAAAATATAGACATAAATTACTACTATAAATTATATCAGTTACTTTTGACAATACAACGCTAAAAAGAGTAATGGTACCCGCTGTTGTGTTTATCAAATATTGAGTCCACTGTACATGTGAAAAGCGAAAATACCCACCAAAATTAGTTAAGGAATTGAACACTAACGAAAAATATTAGAATTATTAGATCTGAGACAGGATTTCAGAGAGTCGACACCAGATTAAGATTTGATCAAGTAGGATTTGTTGAGACAAGTAAATGGAGTAATTGAAATTAGAACTTGAATGAAAGCGTGTTCAGGAATGAGAAGACAATATATCGCAGATAGACACTGCACGAGGACGCATCTGAACACAAAGGAACCATCTTCAAAGCACCAAGTGTTAATAACAATTCAGTACTATCGTGTATGAACGTTCTCAATCTGAGTATCCAAATTAAGAAAAAAAAATCCATTTCAATAAATAATGTAAATGTGGTAAATATTCAACGTTACACCGTGTTATATTCTATTGCAAAATAAACTTATCACATTGCCCATTGAATGAGATTCCATACATTTCTTGGGATGTTCTGTAAAATACCCGACTGTATAGGAACAAACAACTGTAGTGTAGTAAACGTTTTTAACGAAACTACTGTCAGCAACATTCTAAACAGGGCAAATGATGGTATTTAGAGTGTTGCTGACATATTAATTAAAATCCCTATTCTCCGCTATTGATCCACATAGCTCCACGTGTGTCGGTGGTTCCGGGGACAAAACACTGCAGCTTATGTGAAATTAGAACAATAAGTCAATAACACTTAAGGTGGAGTAATGCGGGCAACAAAATTGCTTCAACTTGCAACAAAATCTAATTTCTACGCAGTTAATTGAAAATGATTACGCATAAATTACAAATCACGAGGCAACATGTCAACATTTCTACTTAACATGTGTTGAAATCTGATTTTCAGAGGCGCCAGAATATCGATAATTGGGGGGGGGGAGATATTCATATATTCTTGTTCTGCCCAATTAATTTCTTTTGAAATCGATTGTTTTTACAGTCTGTGAACACGAATATATGAATATCTGCCCCCCAATTATCGATATTCCGGCGCCTCTGCTGATTTTGTTGCAAGTTGCAGCAATTTTGTTGCTCGTATTACTCCAGCTTTAGAATTGTTTCACTTTCAACATCATAATCGAACATAATTTAGCGTTTTCCTTCATACTACGGGATAAAACACGAAACATTTGTTGCGATTATGGAAGAATATACTAACTAAAAGTCTGGTTTTCTATGATCGTAAAGATTGCGTCAAGATCTTTGTCATCAGCCGAAATGCAATATTTTAGAAATACGCTAATAACTAGAGAATGAATTGTTATAAACTGGCCGTTGAGAAAGATCGTGGCTGTATTTTTACGACCATATGGAAACAAGGCTTTACATTTCTGGCTTTGATCTGTACTTCCAATGGAAGTGTCTAGTTCTGCTGAACGATGTGGACAAGTTGATCTCATGCAGTCTGAGCAGCCCTCTTCAAGAAAGCTGACGAATGGGAGAAAATAAAACAAAAATAATGAGACACTTGATATTTCGTTCTAATTTCTGTGATTATTTTACCCCCCCCCCCCAACCCCGAGTCCTCTCCTATACAATGTTGAAAACAAAATTTGATCTGACAATAAACCTTTGTATCGTGTACAACATTGTTTGTCGGGGGGGGGGGCAATGACTTAGTTGTCTCAATAATTGTTGCAGACGATTGTAGGGTAAGGGGAGGTCAGGGTTATTTCGGACCCATAAGAGCATGTAGTCGGCAGGCTTTCTGACATGTCCACAAACTTCAATATGGTGCCTGACAGGGAGTGAAAGTATTGGGGCAGTGTTTACATGAATCGGGTTGGCCCGGTTAACCCAGCTGCCCGGCTTAATTCAAATCCTCCTTAGTACGTAAACCGGGCCAGCCTAACCTGAGTATCAGGCTCGCCGCCGCCAATTAATCCTGGCGAATGAAAACATAAGGGCCTGATACTCAGGTAGGCCAGCTCGCCTAGCCAAGATCTTATTTGTTGTTATAAATGCAAGACATGAGAAGAAACACCAGGTATTTTATGTTTATATGAAAATAAAGACTTTGACATAGATAAGGATTTTTCTGTCATGGTGGTTGATACCCTGGTTCCAGAGGATTTTTTGCCGCCGGAGGATTTTTTGCAGATATGAGAACCTCTGGTAACCAAGGTACTTCGGTGATGGGTTGAAATAAAAATAACCAGACACAATACTAAAATGCGGTTCCCTCACAGCTTGCACTTGCAAAGATTTTTCCCTGCAGCAACGAAATATTGGTCTTTGCAAGGAAATGGGTTTTACAAGGAAATGGCAAGGAAAAATACTAAAATCAAACAATTGCAAGGATTTCTAAAACCACTTCAACCAGTAAATAAACTTTAAAATTATAAATAGTATACGCCCAAACCGTAGACCATACAAAAGAGACCATACTCGATTTCTTGTAGGGTCTATATGAAATGATACATTTGCCTCCAATTTTCCTGAATTTTATTGATTCTTTCTACCGTTTGGGTAGAAAGGAAATTTTGTGGGAAAAAATATATATATATGTCATTATATAGTCTTGAGATTGACAGATTGTGAATCATGGGGCGCTATACATTTAATGGTCTGAACGGTCAGACCTGAATTTTTGTCTCTGTATCAATGGAAAGATCTGATCTATGTTTCTCAAATATCTAGCGTAAATGGACCTCATTCTAATTTTATCTAAATTTTCCGGTCAGATAGGTCCGAAGCCCAAACTTTTTGTGTTCCATTCAACAATTTGACCGTTAACCGGCCTGGCCGTGTTAATGGAAAGCGCCCATGAATTTTCGACTGTCACGGTTTTCGAGGCCTGGTAACTAGCCGGCCGCAGGCGTGTTTTTACCAATCTCGTGCTTCGTTGTGCCCAGAGCAATGCCTGTGCGCGGGCTATAGGAAGGCATTGGCAAGGAAACCGTCCACTCTTCTTTGTTTTATTGCTTAATCAAGTTAGCGTAAGTGGCTTTAAGAGATCTTTTGAAGACGGAGAGGCTAGCGAAGGTGGTAGAGGGAAGAATTTTGCAGACGTGGTTCCATAACTTGACAAGCCGGTTGAAATATGAGGATTGAAATGTTTTGGATTTACAGAAAGGAATTTTGAGTGTGAGAGAAGGATTTCAACTAAGTCGTGTTCGGCCATTGTTGACAAATGAAACGAAACTATGCACGTCAAGATCAATATGCCCATACAGTGCCTTAAAAAAGAACACTAAGTCTTTTATTTCTCTCTCGCAGCACAGGGGTAATAAGCCAAGGGTTATCAGCCGCTGCTTATATGGAATTTTGCCGCGCGTATGCCACCAGTACAATTTTTTTGAGCTGTAGCAAGTATATTTGGAATGGTATGGCCACTTGTTTTCATCCCATACCAAACCCACATGTGTTAGCATCTAGCATTTGGATGTTACAGTAGATGTTAACATGGGTTTGGTATGGGATGAAAACAAGTGCCCATACCATTCCCAATATAATATGATTGTTGCACCCATACCATTCCCATAGTTTATACATCAAGAACCATATGAATTCCATATCATGTTCCCAGATCAGTAGTATAGGGAATGAGGGTTCTAGACCACTTTTTCGGCCCGCGATCTCACCCAACTTCCGGTCAGCGGTTTCCATATTTTTCCCTCAAAAACGCGGGCTCATATTTTTCTAGACCATTTTCCCGCCTATTATTTCACCCATTTATCTAGACCATTTTTTCCCTATTATTTTATATATTATTTTTCCTATTATTTTATCTATTATTTTTCTAGACCATTTTTACATTATTTAACATCTGATTTTTCCTCAAGCATTTTTAGGTGACCGTAATTTTCTGATTTTGGAATAAATTCTAAATCATCCTTCTTATCTTGCATGCTCACTCCAATGTTGATATTATTTGATACAGAGAAATTTATATCACCAGCCTTTCCATTTCTACTAGAACTCTTACGACAACCACAAATCTTACCTAAGCAGGAGAAGCATGACCTCCACCTTGACATCTTATCTTATGATAAACCACATGTTAACTACCTGACCCCGAATATCGGAGTGACCAGCAAAAGGACATATCCATGCTAGTGCCAGTGGGCATTGAGTGTTCAGGTTTAACTATAATACACCAGGCTAGCGTGTTATCTACCAACTCAGCCTGGGCTCCTAAATAGAACATACTATTACCCTTGAAAACGTAGCAAGCTGTACTTCCACCGGTAGTCGTATAAGTTCCATTAAACCAAGTGTATGCAGTCTTCTTAAGTCAACCGTGGCAAGAGTGATTTCCTTTTTAACCTGTGTAAATTTGCCGTTAGATTGTTTTTCCCATACAGTAGCCCACAGGATCAAAGCTAGGGGTATATTTAGAACAGTTGAAAAACGTGGGTAGTCTGTTTTTATAGTAATTGACTCAAGGTTCAGGTCTGCCATATTATTAATAGGATCTGTTCTCCATGAAGGTGGAATCTGATCGTGACAGTAAGCGTAGTACCTTGTTGCTGCAACTGAAACACCACGATAACCCCAAATCCATTCTGCATGTATATGTCGCCGTATTCTTACATATCTTAAGTCAGCCGTTGCTTGAGTAAGACCAGTTGAAGGTTTTAGGAAATTCTTTTCTACCCACTGTTTGTTAACAGCATCCTTATCATTTACAGGATCCCTTAGATCAAGAATTCCACTTGAATCCCCCATATCCAAATCACCTTTTACCAGTCCACCTCTACTACTCATGAACTCATCTATTACCCACCTCTTATTAACAGCTGAACCGTCAGTCGTAGGGTCACCAACTCTAGTCAACTCGTAATCGTTAACATCTAAATTACTAGCTAAAGTGCCACCATCACGCTTAAGAAACTGTGAGCACCATGAAGTCATAGAACCATAAGAAACAGCACTAGAACCACCAGACGACCCACTATTTAGTCCTGTAATAGTATTACCAGCCATGTCAATATTACCGCTCATAGTAAAGCCACTACTACTTACAGAACTCCCACTGACATGATCCGTGACCCATTTCTTAGACACGGCAGAATTATCAGTTGTAGGAGCACCAATATTTATTATTTCATTTCCACCCATTCTAAGACCACCTGTCATTGCTCGCGAACCGCTAAGTTTTAATAAGTTTGTTGTGTACGTTTTAAGATACTGCAACCTTACAAGGCTATTTGAGTTTCCAGGGTCGGAGTTACAGTTAGGTGCATTGCTAAAATTAATAGTGCCACCAACATTTAAAGATCCTGTTCCGTCTAACCGTAGAAATGTTCCTTCATTTAAATTAAACCAGCTTTTTGTAACCACAGATTGATCACTAGTAGGATCCCCAACATTTTCAATTTCGTTTCCTCCCATATCAATATTACCACCCATAGTAAAGCCACTACTACTTACAGAACTCCCACTGACATGATCCGTGACCCATTTTTTAGACACAGCAGAATTATCAGTTGTAGGAGCACCTAACTTTACAATCTCATTATTTCCCATATCAAGGTCGTCAGAAAGTGTAAGTCCACTGTAAGTCTCACGCTTACTTCTACCACCGCTAATCTTATCTTCCACCCACTTTTTAGCCACAAGGGAGGAGTCTCTGTCAGGGACAGCGTTAGAATAGATTTGAAAGTTATTTGTATTCATATTTCCTGTCATGGAGCCACCATTCCTTTTGAGGTAATCATTATCACTTTTATTTCTAAAAGAATTTAAATTTAATGTTAGAGTATCAAGGTTAACAGGATCTCCTCCACTCCTAGGAACCGAAACATTTCTTATCCTATTTCCGTCCATATTAATTGCTCCTGACATTTTAAAACCAGAGGGACCAAGAAGTGTAGATATTTTATCTTCAACCCACTTTTTTGATGTAGCCTCACTATCAATTTTAGGCTCAATAAGATCAAACAATCTCCAACCTCCCATGGACACATCTGCTTGCATAATTCCACCTTTTAGTCTAAAGTTATTATCAACAGCCCACTTTTTTGTGACAGCAGACTGGTCCTCAGAGGGATCCTTAAGATTCTTAATCTCATGGTCCTTCATATCGATATCACTAGCAATATTAAGTCCAGATACAGGCCTATTTAGCATTCCAACTACCCAATCCTTACTAACAGCAGACTTTCCAGTTGTAGGATCACCTAGAGCCTTTATCTCATTTGTTGACATATTGAGGTCATTTGTAAGGATAAGTCCAGGTAGACTAGCACGACTATCCTCAACCCAGCTCTTACTGGCAGCGTCACCTGGGTTAGTAGGATTATCAAGATTAATTATCTTATTACCTCCCATGTTAATATCCCCAGTCATTGTAAACCCTGCTGGTTGAATTGTAAGAGCAGCCTGTTTAATGATCTCATCATCCACCCACTTTCTTGTGGTCGCAGAAGTATCATCTGTAGGTGCACCCAGACCTTTCACCTCATTACCATCCATCTCAATGTCACCCTTCATGGTAAATCCATCCTTATCAAACACACTACCACTTGATGGGTCAACTTTATTTACTCCTTTGTTGTATCCCCTATAGAGAGCCATTTTATAACATACACAATGTTTACAAGATAATTTTCATTAGAATGAATACAACTATAGCACCAATCCCAGCTCCAGCGATAGCGTTAACTCCTGAAGACTCATCATGTTTCATGATAGGAACAACTTGAGTCTCGGCACTTGTAGAACCTTCCTGAGGCTTAACTCTTGTAGGACCTCCTGGAACCTTTTTATTTCCATCAATAGTATCAAGATGGTGAACTGGTGTATTGTCTTGATGCTGTTTCTTTGGGGGATTAGCCTTTTTAACCCCAACATAATTGAGTTCGGTATTAACTCCTCTTTTCATATCCTTTGTTGCGTTTTTTAGAATATTGTTATACCCAGGTATAGGCTTACTTAGAATTATGAGACTTGATGGAATAAGAACAGTTCCAGGGGTGACGGCTGTGTTAAGTACAACATTTGTGTCTCTAATAGCAATTCTCATATTACCTAGAGTTACAACAGGATCAGCTTGAATAACGCAATCATTTACCAGTGCGCTGAACTTACCCTGGGTAGCAGATGACTTTCCATAGCTTCCAGTGATAGGTGATCTGGTAGCTGCCTGTGCACCTAACACAGAGTAAACGTAAGCTTCAATTGATTCCCCTAATAGAAGTAAGCCAGTTTTTGTAAGTCCAAAATACGGATCAGTCTGAGTACTAACAAACCTTAAATAATCAGACTTACTAACGAGTGCAACAGATACTCTTTCCTCATAGTGTACACGAATTCCTTTTAGAAACCCATTAACAGTCATAACTGAAGAATTGGTTACATTTCTTACAGGATTGCTACCATCACCCCTACCCTTTATCCAGTTACTTTTTTCCCAGTCGAGTCCATAATCGTATACAACATCATAATAATCACTTTTCTTTACCCACTTACCCTTAACAGGTATATGCTTTTTAATAGAATCCAGCATATCCATATAGGGAACTAATCTTTCAGGTTTGTACACATACTTCCTAATGCAGTAGTAAAGGTGAAAGTTCATTATACTTGTTATCACAGGGTAAGTATCATTACTAGGAGTAAGATGACCACTTGTGATTCCACATAGATATGTTGCGAGATATGCGCCGCAAAGAGCTGCAAAGTAGGGTTTCTTATAGTCGAACACTGTACTTACACCATCAATCTTAATACTGTCTTCAATTTTAGGAAGCATATTTCCACCAGCCTCCCCGGAAGTTACAAAGAAGCTTTTACCATCCAGATAAACCTTGAATGAATGTGCAGGAGTGTTCCACCCAATCCTAGGAAACCAGCTGAACCTATCAAATGTATCGTTGTTGTTTAACTTAGCTTTTACATCAGAACCCAACCTCCACTTTAGAGGCCAACCGTCAACTAAACCTAGAATCTCACTTTTTGTAACCTTTGTATCAGTCATGGGAACAAACTGTGCGGGGGTAATAATTTTCTTAGTACCTGTGAGATAATATGTAAACTCCTTATCCTTCTTAAAACCGTCATATCTAATGTCATATGAAGATATACCATCTAAATCAACAAACCAAGTGATAACTCCAATATCACCACTACTTGTAGTCATGGCTTCAAACCTAAACCTGTTCATATCAGCCTTAGGATACCTTCTAACAAATCTAGCCCTCTCAGCGTCCTCAGCTTTTTTACCAGCAATAGGATCAACATGATCTTCATCATCTTCTTTTCCATACTTTTTTTCATAATCTTGGTAAGACCTATACGGTGACTTCCCAACGTCTCCTCCACCTAGTCTCATTCTTAATAACCTAACGTATGTTATTAAGATGAAGTTCACAATTTTACTCCAGAGCTCGCACACTATTATATCACTACAGAATTCAGTTTTAACAAGCAACTATAATTCAGTCTTTGTGAAGAGAGTTTCAGTTTTTTGGGAATATTTCAATATAAGAGAACCAACAACTATTCTCAAGGTTAAAACAGCTGGTGGTGAAACTGACGTGATTGTCAGCAAGGGCTACTATACATTTGATAGTATGAGAAAATTACTTGAGAGACACGGTGTTAAACTAACATATTTTCCAGAAACAGCAGGATGTCAGATAGAAGCTGTAAAGCAGGACATTACAATAGAAACCAGGTTTTTAACAATGCTTGGCTTTAATAGATTTAATAATCCTATGATTCTACTAAAAGGGAGGAGTTTGACAAGTG